GTGAACAGTATATTTTATTTTGTTTTTTGTTTTTTTCTGGATTGAGTTTTGCTTGAAAAGTGTTATTTTCCAACTAGTTTCACATTACATTGATACTTAATACAATGAACTTATGAACGTTTATAAGTGTGGCTTGGTTGTCAAAAATATTCCAAGGCCATTATACACCAACAGAGCATGCACAGTTTATTATTTCATTTGTGTTCATTTAATAAAATAAATCTTCCAGTTTTGAAGAGCCTGATTGGTAAATCATGAAATTTCCAAAATAATCCAGGTGTAAATGAAAGCTACAGTAAATGTACTGTGGGACTTATAAATAAATCACAGTCTTTGTCAATAATCAATACAGATTTCTTTATTAGTGGATGTCTGACTATAAACTCAGAATGCAATAGTATTGTTATCTTCTGATGAAATCCACACCAGATGTGCCCTATGACTTCATATACAGCTGTTTAGACTTCCCTCACAGTAAGAAGGCCGTGTACACTAACAAACATACAGTGCTATAGTATAGACTTATCATGTGTGATGTGCAGGGGGCTCTGAAAACCATTATCTGCCCTGCGTCCTCATCCTTTCACTAAGCTTCCCCTCTGCTTTCTCATTCTTTAGAAGTCCTTAGAATCCATAAGCATCCACTGAGTGACCCCTGCAAGCATCAAAGTGCTGTATTACCACACTGTAGGGATGTACTGAGAACCCCTCCCTGCAGCTGTCAGCAGTACATTACACATCTGCACCTGACACATGAGTTCAGATATACAATACTGGTCAAATGTTTTAAAATAATTGCTCTGGGTTTTTTTTTTTTTTAAGCAGGATCTAATATGCTCACCATGGCTACATTTATTTGATCAAAAATATAGTAAAACGGTAATATTTTGCAACATTTAAAATAACTGTTTTCTATTTTAATATATTTAAAATGTGATTTATTCCTCTGATACAAAGCTGAATTTTCAGCATCATTACTCCTGTCTTCAGTGTCACATGATCCTTCAGAAATCATTATGAAATACTGATTTGCAGCTCAATATTTTTTTTAGTATTATCAATTATTATTGGTGCTTAATTATTAATAGTGGTTATTATCTGCAATGTTGAAAATCGTTTTTGCTGCTTAATATTTTTGTGGAAACCATGGTACATTTCTTTTCAGGATTCTTTGATGAACAGAAATAAAAGCATAAGTTTGAAACAGAAATCTTTGCAATGTCTTTAAATGTCTTTACAGTCACTTTTTACCAATTGAATGCATCCTTTTTAATCTTTGCCCAAATTTTTGAATGGTAGTCACAATCATATCATCCATATTTCATAAAATATTATGTAGCAAAAATGTAAAAAAAAAAAAAAGTTTTTTAAAATATATTAAAATAGAAAACAGTTACTTTAAATTGTATTAATATTTTCTAATATTACTGTTTTTACTATATTTTTTTGATCAAATAAATGCAGCCTAAAGCATAAGAGGTTTCTTTCAATAATATAAAAAATGAATGATTCCAAACTTTTAGTGGGTGACTGATTTCCTTTCTTTTTCCAGACAACATCACCACCAAGCACTCTACATATCACTTTTGCATGCAATAAATAGCTTCCACAGAGATTTTTTTATCACATATTGTATAATCCCAGCAATTTTAGCACCACCACCACAGTGACAGCATGCATCCATTAACAGTAATTAAGCAGGCACACTGCACCTCCACCAGGCTGATACAAACAGGACAGCAGGCCATGCAAGGCCTACCTCAGTCTTAGCTTACCCGCAGTAGTGCCCGCTGCCATAGTGGCAGCCACTGGCGGGCACACTGCACCTCCACCAGGCTGATGCAAACAGGACAGCAGGCCATGCAAGGCCTACCTCGGTCTTAGCTTACCCGCAGTAGTGCCCGCTGCCATAGTGGCAGCCACTGGCGACTGACGCTTACTCACTTTGGAAAGAAATCTGAATAGCACGCCATCTCGTGCCATGGCAAACAGAATGCGTGGAAGAGGGAACATAGAACCCAACAGGCTAAAGACAAAAAGAGTCATGGTTCAGACACCTGCAACTCTGGAGGGAAAGGAACATATTAACCAACACCAGCAAGTGTGAAGGAGCAAAAACTGACCAAATGCAGCCAATTGTGTTTTTTCAGTCATTTGTAATTATTGGAAGATTTGTTTTGTTTTTTTAATAAATGAGCATACATAGACAAATTGATATTCACTGAACTGCCATGACTTTTTAGGATTTAATTCATTTCCTTGATTCATCCAGGCTTGGAATGTACCATTTTTAAAAGTCCTGATATTTCAAGTTTAAAATTATGTATGTTTCTATAGAATAATTCTTCATATTGTGCATTTCCGCTCTTTTTCACATTTGACTGGTGGATCACATTGGCGGTTTGCATAGCAAGCATGCCCCCATCTCTCACCTGCAACTACACCTGAAGACATTGTAGCAATAAGAGGGGTCTTCGTCTTAGGATTGATTTGGGCTAACACTTTGAAAACCACCCCATCCTGTGCCATAGCATAGATTACACGCGGCATTGGGAAAATGGAGCCCAGCAGACTGCATGTGAGGCAAAGACATCAGCAGAAGCAAGGGGTCAATTAATTACATGCTGCAGACCTGATCCCAAACACTTCTGCTGCTGGGTACTGTTACAGGCCTCCACAAACAATGATTTTGATTTTAAAGTCAACATGAAATCTAAATGGGGGGGAAAAAGCTGACTTTGAGTTTCAACTTATTTTCAACACCACTCCAATCACAGGATGTACAGACAACATTTTTCACAACATCAATTCCCAATGGACAGAATTAAGTTTGCTTATGTTCTTTCTGAATATTCTGTTTGACTCTTAAAAAAAACTCATTACAGAAGTAATATGGGTTTCATGTTGACTTTAGGAAATATAAAATTTGACAGCACATCTTACAGCACTTTGCAAATGAGGCAAATGGGACCGGACGTACAGTTAAATCATCTTCATTTTTTCCTGGGAGTATTGCACAAGGGCCTAAGCTAATAGTATCCTATAAAATGTTTTAGTAAATTCATAAAATGACACTAGTGGCTACAATCAAAATTATTGGTCTTAGGCATAAAACTTTTATAGCAATAGGATAATAGCTTGTATACTTTACCAATCACACACCTGGATGTTTTTGAACAGAATTAAGACTAATATTCAAGCAAGTCCAATAATCATACAATAAACATTAAACTGTTAAATTGAGTGGGTTGTAATTCATGCTGCTTTAGGGAGCGTTGCTAATTACCAAACAATAATCCTTACTGATTTATGTCACCAGGAAAAAAACAAAACCACATTCCACTTGAACATTTTGTTCTGAAAGAGAGCAAGTATAAACCTTAATCATATTAAAGCTTAGAATACTAATCTGATTCATTAAATGCTATGGATAATTATTTATATGGCTCTCTTTCAAACAAATCACCATCAAAAAGTCATTAGAGATGCAAAGCATAGGAATCAATCCACCACAGACCCAACTAAGAACTTCATACAAATTAATTAGGAAAGAAATGTTTAACTGAATCTCAAACAAATGACAAAATGAATAAAAGCATTTTTATGTAACTATTCACAGTGTTATGTCAATATACAATCTTGTAAGAAGCCTTGGCCAGCAGAACAGTATTATGGGAGCAAAGAAAGATGTTTACCTGGTTGATAAAGCACAGAGCGATCCTGCCGCTACAACATATTTCGCAGGCCCCCAGCCCACATATTCAAAAGCCAAAGGCAGGGGACTCTTCTCATCCAGCAGGTAGTAGGGCATCATGAGGGTGAGGGCCGCTGAAACACCAAAGTAGGCGAGAAAGCAGACCAGCAGGGAAATAACTATCCCAATGGGAATGGCCCTCTGGGGATTCTTCACCTCCTCACCTGGTCACAGTAACAAATATCAGAAGTCTTTGAGCACAAGACCAGACTGAAGAATCGAAGCTAACTGTTGTATAAAACCGAATAAGTGATTGAATACCTGTGGTTGCAATGCAGTCAAATCCCACAAAGGCATAAAAGCAGGTGGCGGCACCAGCCAGTGTCCCACCAAAGCCATAAGGCAAAAATCCCCCTGCCCCGTAATCACTAGTGACATTAGCAGTGTGTGAGAGATTCCTGTAAGCATATTTTAACATTTTAATGATTATGATCATCAAAAATTCACACATTAGGCTCAATTCATTAAGATATAAAAGGAAAGTAACTGAAAAGATACTCTTCACCTTTTGACAATGGTAACGTTTATGAGAGATTCCTCAGATATATTCCAATTGAGCGAGTCTCCTTTGACGAACCCAGAGATGATAACAAACATCAGCACAAGCACGTTTACAGCTGTGAAGATTTTGTTGACCCAAGCGGATTCTTTCACCCCAAAGGAGAGAAGGCCTGGGGGGAAATTACAGCGACAGACATTTCAATTCAGTTTAGGAAATAATTCATGTAATAATTTAGTTGCAAATATGCATTCAGGAGATTTCAGATTTTTCTAATTGTGCTAAACTTAGACGATAAAGGGCATTTGCATTTATTCATTTAGCAAAAGCATTTATCCAAAGCAACTTACAAATGAGGAATACAACAAGCAGTTCATCTTAAAGTGTGGCAATACAATACGTTTTAGAATAGTAGAATAGTACAAGCCAGAACAAGGAGAGATTTAAAGTCGTTTTTTTAGATGAATGAAGTTAATGATTTTTTTACCTGCCAGTAGTAAGATCAGGCAGACAGCAAAGAAATCAGGGTACTCTGCTAGGCCAGGCAAACTCATTTTGAAGTACATTTTGCAGAGCTTTTCAATGTGGCCCCCTATAAGCTCATCAAACGTCCCACTCCAGGCACGCGCCACACTAGACGTCCCTGTTCCAACAAAATATCAGTTTAGGTTGGAAAATGATCTTTTTATTCTCTATATAACTGCTTTAGCATATTGCTAAACCATAATTACCTATGACGTATGACAGAATGAGGTTCCACCCTGTGATGAAGGCCCAGAGCTCCCCCACGGTCACATAGCTGTACAGATAGGCTGAGCCCGTCTTGGGTACCCGCGCACCAAACTCGGCATAACACAGGCCGGCCATCACAGATGCCAGAGCAGCGATGAGGAAGGACACCACAATGCTGGGGCCAGAACTGCCTTTGGCCACCTCCCCAGCGAGCACATAGACACCGGCCCCAAGTGTACTTCCCACCCCGAGGGCAATCAGATCAACAGTGGAGAGGCAGCGGCACAGCTTGGACTCTTCCAGACAGTCCTGGTCCACATTCTTCCTCCTCACAAGGGAGCGACCAAATGTGAGGCAATGTTCCAGCATTCTTCCTGTTACCACAAACTGTCGAGATGTTTTTTTTGTCACATAAATAAATCAAGTATACAAACTTTTTTCTTTTCGAGTGAAAGGATATAATTTATTTTCCTTTTTATGTTTTACATACTCAGGACCGAATCTGAGTGGTGAACATTTGTGTAGTTTTTGGCTAACATTGCACACAATAAATGCACAATGTAATGATTGGATTCTGCAAGATTGCGAACCAAAGTAGAGCTGAGGCATGTAAACGAACACTGTATTATTCAATAACACTTTTAGCCTTTGTTCTCACTTGCACGTCTGCAGTTTAAGCAGGTTTTAGCATTGCCCAATGTACAATAATGCAACAGCCTTAGGCATTATTGCATAATAGTGGAATAAAGTGCTTTCATTTTGACAGGCGTAGGTATTTGGCACATCGCTTATTGGTCAGTGCGCTTCTGTGCAATTAAAGAGTTAAATTAGTTGTAAGCCATTGGCATCAAGTTAATTGAAGGTAAAAGTTCTTTATAAATGTATAAAGTATTTTGAGTTTATATAAAGTTTATATAAGGTAGGTTTTTAGACTGAGGAAAAAAACTGAGGACAATCCTCCTCACTCCTCACTCAATGAAAATTTGTTACATACCCTACAGAGGTAATTAAAACCCTTTTAGCTGTGCTGTCATGATTAAATATCATAGCACAATCTCTTTATATCTAAATAATATAATCATATATATTTTTATACACTACTATTCAAAGGTTTGGGTTCAATAAGAGCTTTAACGTTGATTTCAGCAAGGACGCATGAAGATCAAAAGTGACAGTAAAAATATTTATAACGTTACAAAATATTTCAGTTTCAAATAAATGCTATTCTACTCATCAAATAAAATATTATTAATATTATCACAAAATATTATTAATTATCACAAAAATAAATATAAATTATCACACAAATATAAAGCAGCAAAAATTATTTTCAACATTTATAATTTTAAGAACCATTATTAATAATTGAGCAGTAAATCAGCATATGAGAATGATTTCCGAAGGATCATGTGACACTGAAGACTGGAGAATGATGCTAAAAATTCAGTTTTTCCATCATAGGAATAAATTACGTGTAATAATATTTCACAATATTTCTGTTTCACTGTATTTTTGATTTAAAAAAATGCAGCCTTGGTGATCATAGGAGACCTCTTTCAAAAACATTATAAAAATCTTAAAAATAAAAACCCCAAACTTTTGAATGGTAGAATACATATTTTATATAAACACCCACAAACAAATAGTAGGCTATACAGAACAGTTTTAGAGATTCGGTTTCCAGTCTCTTTTTGCATGTAAATTAAGTTGCAGACCAAAGCTGCAGTGAAGTTACTTTCTAAACTTCTTTTACACATAAAACAGATATTTTACAAATGATTTGGCACATTGTGGTGTGAGTGTGACCAAATTGCTGAGCATTAGCATTACACTGTGTCTGCATACAACCTGTGAAAGGCGTTAAGAAATCCCACAGGCAGAGCAGATTGACATGCATGAGGCTGTAGCTGTGAGGGCTCATCATACTAAACTTGACAAGCAACTCTGAAGCTCAGTTACAGTATAGCATATTTTATAGCTGGGCCAGATTGTATTATGTCTTACTGTAATGAGTGAGTGGATATCATTAATACTACAGTAAGATGCAAAGTCATAGATGGTCATAGATCAACATTTATACATTAGTCTGCTTTAAAATTACATGTTTTCAATGGTTCTGCTAAAAATATTTGAGTGTGTGTAAATGCATGTGATCAAATAGAAATCAATTATGTATTTGCATAAACACAAAAACTAAAACTTACCACCTGATGAGAGACTGGCAGCTGTAGAATTGCCTTATGGACGTAATGTCTTACGGTTTCATGCAAACACACACACACACACACCTCTCGGGGATCTCCACTGATTTCTTTAAAACGCTCACAGGCTCAGTCCTTCCAAAGTTTGCCCCTTCCTTCCTCAAGCTCAAATGACATGTCAGCCCACAACCGCATTAGTTTTACTGCCTACTTTACTCTGTTCTGGTTTGCTTTAACTTGCCCTGCCCCCCACGAGGAGGGCTGGTCTGGCCAAAGAGGAGGAGAGACACTTCACACAGAGGGAGGCAATGCTAATTTTCTTATTCAACCAGGTCTCTCTTATTCAAAAAAACCATTTTAATAATGCTGCCTGATTTATTCTGAACATGCTTTTTAAAGAAACCCTCATGGCCGAGTAAGTCCCAGCTGCCAGTGCACTTATTGACCACTGATAAATGGTTAAGCAATTGACATTGACAAACATTGAGACAGACAGATCTGTTTGCCCAGTGCAGTGCGGAAGAGTTGCTAAAAGCATGGACATGATTGGACAAAGAGGTCTGTCAAAGGTAAAGAGCTTTAATGGATGATTGTTTCCCTTATTTATAAGCCCATGAGCTGGATACTGGGTCAATTGGCCTCTCCAGAACTAGTGATAACAAATCTGAGAGACCGAGGTGATTGTCACTCATGACTGAATTTTAGCAACAGAGTCAAGTCCAGTTACAGAAATGGTGAACACATACAGGTGCATCTCAATAAATTAGAATGTCGTGGAAAAGTTCATTTATTTCAGTAATTCAACTCAAATTGTGAAACTCGTGTATTAAATAAATTCAATGCACACAGACTGAAGTAGTTTAAGTCTTTGGTTCTTTTATTTGTGATGATTTTGGCTCACATTTATTCTTAAACAAGAAAGTTTTTGTCAAATTTGTGGACCTAGTAACTAAATGTAAAGAGCAGAGCAGAACTAAAGATCAAGTTACCATAGACCTTAGTCAGGGTAAAGAAAGAAAGGAAAATGAAAGCAGGGTCTCAAAATGCATTTTTGCATTAGTTCACCCAAACATTAAAATTGGCTCACCTTCAGGCCATCCAAGATGTAGATGAGTTTGTTTCTTATTCAGAAGAGATTTGGAGAAATTTCGCATTACATCACTTGCCCATCAATGTATCCTCTGCAGTGAATGGGTGCCGTCAGAATGAGAGCGCAAACCGCTGATAAAAACATCACAATAATACACAAGGAATGTACAGTGGGTACGGAAAGTATTCAGACCCCCTTAAATTTTTCACTCTTTGTTATATTGCAGCCATTTGCTAAAATCATTTAAGTTAATTTTTTTTCCTCATTAATGTACACACAGCACCCCATATTGACAGAAAAACACAGAATTGTTGACATTTTTGCAAATTTATTAAAAAAGAAAAACTGAAAAATGCTCAGTATTTAGTAGAAGCACCCATTTGATCTAATACAGCCATGAGTCTTATTGGGAAAGATGCAACAAGTTTTTCACACATGGATTTGGGGATCCTCTGCCATTCCCTCTTGCAGATCCACTCCAGTTCTGTCAGGTTGGATGGTAAACGTTGGTGGAAAGCCATTTTTAGGTCTCTCCAGAGATGCTCAATTGGGTTTAAGTCAGGGCTCTGGCTGGGCCATTCAAGAACAGTCACAGAGTTGTTGAGAAGCCACTCCTTCGTTATTTTAGCTGTGTGCTTAGGGTCATTGTCTTGTTGGAAGGTAAACCTTAGTTCCAGTCTGAGGTCCTGAGCACTCTGGAGAAGGTTTTCGTCCAGGATATCCCTGTACTTGGCCGCAAAGGGGGTCTGAATACTTTCCGTACCCACTGTAAGTAATCCACAAGCTGTGTGATGTTTTTAACCTCTAACCACTGATTCCTGTCCATAACATTGCACTCCCCAGTGAAAAAGTTTTCTTGTCTGAATCAGGAGAGAAGTATACAATATACGAAAACAGTCCATTAGAAGCATTATTATGGTTTAGGAACCTGCATTTTTGGTGACACTTTAAAGTTAAAATGCCTTAATAATGGATTTGTTTCCTACAACAGCTTTTCACCTAACAAGCCGTCAATTAATGGACTGGGAGTTGTGGATTATTGTGATGCTTTTATTAGCTATTTGAACTCTCATTCTGACGGCACCCATTCACTGCAGATGATCTACTGGTAATCAAGTGATGTAATGCTACTTTTCTCCAAATCTGTTCCAATAAAGAAACAAACTCATCTGCACCTTGGATGACCTGCGGGTGAGTAAATTTCATTTTCGTATGTACTTCACAAGGCATCTTAAAAATAAAAAATGCTGGGCTCATGCGTGAGACGCTTAAAAAGCAGCACGATGCTGCACAATAGTCCACATAGCTTAAAAACTATTAAAAAACAGATCTGCAAGACACAAGCTTAACAGTCAAATATGTCTATCTAGTGCATTTATACTTAGCCAAGACAATGTGAATAGTGATAATGAAAATGCTTTTAAAAAATCTACCAAAATATAAAAAGCTCTATATGATAATGGTTAGTAAGATCATCAAATAAGAGGGATATGGATGTGCTTGCTATTATTACTAAAGGCAAGTGGAAAATAATTAACCTAACATGAAAATATGTGTATTTACAATATTTAATTCCATCTTTCATGTTATTTACTCACCTTCTATGTAGAAATGGTGAAAGTTTCTGAAACTGTGTGGTGCAATGAAACTCATTCTTCAGTTGCTCTGCTCTAGCATGTGCCGGGCTGTTTTGTTTTTCTTCATCAGTTCATCATCAGTTGTAAGGCTGTGTCCATTCTGTGCCCTTTATCTATCTGAACAATACAGTGAAAGCAAATGCCACCCTGAATGGATGGGT